CAACACCAGAAGGAATTACAAATGAATTATTCCAGTACTACAGTGAACAGTTCAAAGTACCTGCAGTGGATTGTTCTAATGAACACGAAGACCAGATAGATAGGAAGTATAAAGAGTTGGTGAATAGATTATCAGTGTTGAATGATAGTGTAGAAAAAACTAGCACTGCTGAAATTACTCGTATAATTAAAACCTTAAAGCCTAAGAAATCAGCAGGCCTTGACTCGGTGTCAAACTTTATAATTAAAAAACTTCCTCCAAGTTACATCGAGTGCTTAGCTAAATGCTTCAATACATGGTTAAACGACTGTCGTTATCCAGATGACTGGAAAATTGCAAAAATCATTACTCTAAATAAGTTGAAATCGGGTATCCCCAAGTGTGAGCAAACTCGACCAATTTCCTTGTTAGCTACTCATTCAAAGCTGTTTGAAAAAGTGCTCTTACTAAGAATTAGACAGTGGGCTGAAACAAATCGTTTAGTACCACCAGAACAATCTGGTTTCCGCCCAAAATGTCTGCTACCAACTCGAGTACTTTCGATATACCAGGAAGTGAAAAACAACATGGCAGCTAATATTCCGACGCTTGCTCTATATGTTGATTACCAAAAGGCTTATGATCGTGTATGGCATGCTGCTCTCCTCTGTAAACTAGAAAAAATGGGTATGCCTTTCAACTTATTAAAAATGACTAATAGTTGGTTAGAAGAAAGAAAAGCTTACGTAGAATATGGTGAAAAAACTTCGAAAATATTTAATATAAATATAGGACTGCCGCAGGGTAGTAGTCTTAGTCCGTATTTATTTATAGTGTTTCACTCAGATCTAACAAATTATCTAGGAGCTCATTCATGTCATTTATTTGCAGATGACCTGTGTGTATTAATTAAACCGCCAATAATGAAAAAATTAGGTTCGATGATTGACTACTTAGAAAAAGAAGGTACAAGAGTTTGTAATCAGGTTTTTATGTACTCAAAAAAGTGGAAACAGCCGTTAAATGTTTCTAAAACCGTAATACAATTATTTCACACACAAGTTAAAAGACCGATCGTAAACGTAACAATAGACGGGAACAAAATCGAGTTAGTCAAAGAATTCAAATACTTAGGATTTACTTGGACGGATAAACTTTCGTTGAAACCAACAGTCGATAAAATCATAGGAAATATTCAGAGATCGCTAGGAAAACTGAAATGGATAAAATCTGGTCGTAGAATGTCATGTAAAGCGCTCCGTCAATGTTTCTTCGCGTACACTTTTCCGCATTTTGCGTGGTTATTTCCCCTTTTCCCTCTTCTACCAGTATCTCAACAACATGTATTAGAACAAAAATTCCGAGTAGGTCTTCGGTTGGTGCATCGCTGTCCCTTCGTTTCTGCGCATAATCTATTGAAAGTCACTTCTGAACAGCCCTTACAATTTTATGTAAAAAAATATATTCAACGCAGATTGAAAACCATGTTCATAACTGATCTTGGTTCTTCTGCCTTCTATGAAGATATATTTGGCTGGGATAATTTTTGTAAAAGGAAAAACGATCATCTTGGTCATTTTTTTCGCACACGTCGTGTGCGGCAATTGAAAGATCGACACGAATCGTTCCTTTTAACGTGGTTGGCTTTTGTTGATGCGAATTAATATCACAGAAAGATGCATAAATGTAATGCTTTACACAAATTTCTTCTTTCATTTTCTCTCTCGTTCTTTCTTTTAGTTTGTTCTTCTTCTTTTTTCTAGCTGTTCGATGTACTCACGTATCTTCGCTGCCGCTTATCATCATCAGTACTTCTCTCTTTTCTTTTCTTCTTCTTTTTTCACATTTTAATCGATTTTTCATTTATTTACTCTCCAAATATCCCTTCAAGCGAAAATTGGTACGCTGCATAATATATTGTTAGCAAAATTGTAACGCTTTGCTTAAAATGATGTAGCTTTTCGCTTATACATCTATATTTCTCTTTTTCTTATGTAAGCACTTCCGAGTGTTACATTTACGAGCATAATAAAAAAAAAAAAGAACCTAACTAGAGATATAAATATGTGTTGTTGAAACGAATTGGCTATATCGTTGAAATACTTCGATTTAGCTGACAACTAAGTATTTTAAGCTCTTCTTTAGGGCACGAATTATTCATTTTTTTATTTGGTTATTTTTCAACATTTACTCGTTTTTTCATATTTTTGTCTTAGAAACTGTGCTGAACTCTACATCACCAGCAACAAATATGAATTCGATTACACATATATGTACGATGATAAACTCAAATAAAATTAAGTGAGTTGTATAATTACTATGTTGTCATTGGAAAAGATTTTCTTTTCTGTAATAGCATCGATGGCGTTATTGATGGAATCAAGCGAAAACTACTAGATAGCGATACACGTATTAATCAACAAGTATTAAATGTAATGTTCTTGTCTATCAAAAGTTTTTGACGCTATGGGTATTGAAAGCTCATCTGTTATTATTATTTGTAGAAATCTATATAACTCGATTAATGGATTAAGCTTTCATGGAACATTAAAAATATCATGAGAATAGAAAATATGGTGCTATTCGAGGATGCGTCTCGAATGTTATTCTGAGTTAGTGGGTTACTTCTATCGGCATGATTGTCACGCTTTATTTTGTATTCGACAGTTTTCCCTTCAGCTAGTTCAGCACATTGTTTACAATCTTATACAAGTGTCTAATTAAACCATGAAAAGTATAGATGTATGAAGACAACATCCAACATCAAGGCAATTTACGAAGACGAGCCTATTTTCAACAAATAATGAGTAAAAGAAAGACTGGTTTAAAAAATTTCTTGTGGAATACGAGGTTTTACAGAGATTTTTATATCACACATTATTCTATCTGTTGTATATTTTTATCAGATACTTTCCATGATCTCAACGAAAGGTAACAGCACTGTTATTCTACACATCAAGAGAAGTGACATCGACGGAGCACTTCACACATTGATCGAAAAAGTATGCCAACGGAAAACTTTTTATTTATGTCTTATCTTTCATATAGGGTGCGGTCGACCTAATTACAAATGAAGCTCGTGAACTTTTTCAGCATTTTGAATTTCATAGAACTTTTGTTGGTGATTCGCCAAAGTAAGTAGATTTAGTTTTGCTAGACATTTCAATGCTCTTGTCTTATTTACAAATTATTTCTGGGTGAAAAAGTTTCGATGATTTTATTAACAAATAGATTATCGTCGCTTCTTCGTTTTTTTATGCATCGTTTCTTATTCTAGAGTTGCACAAGATAGACAGATTGTGAGATATTTATTACAATACATCTGTGCACATTAAACGTCAGCATTCAGAATACTAAGAAGATTGCCGTATGACTTAAAAATATTTGGTTGTTATCTGAATAACTTTAGTGCGCAAATAGTCAACAGTATGCAATCTTTACCGTTCAAAAGAGGTTTTCGAGGGCCACTTATTTTTAAATATCTTTTTTCGTGCGAAAAATTGTAGAAACATAATTGTTACCTAAAAGTACAATTTTTTAAGTGAAAAATCAAATCTTTTCAATTTAGACCTAAAGAAAGACTTTAAACATTTGAAACATATAGATTCCTATAGAGCTTAGTGAACTCTATAAATAGTTAGATATGTATATTAGATTGCTTGAATCTTTTGTTTCAGAGTGAAAATCGAAAATCGAAAAATTTCAATCTTGAATTGTATTGAATGAATATAATTTGTTCATATGTTTTTAGGAAAGTTTTGAAAAAAGAAGACAACAGTTACCCATATGAGTTCTTCTGGTACAATATTTAGCAAACAAGGGTATTATGATCTCCTCTATCGAATGATGAAAATGCAGGTTGCTAGCCATTTGTGCTCTTCGCTTATTTAACTCACAGCCGAATACCTATAAGTCTTGCACCGATATTAGCTTGTAGTTTGCGACCAAATTATCAGTATTACATGAGAAACTCATACTATATAAGTACAGACTTATTCTTATCCGCTACTGATCTATTAGATCTCCACTATTGATTTTTCTTCTTGAAACATAAGGATATTTATGAAATCAACTCTGATTTCATCGTGTTCGAGGTAGCGATTGACTTAGATCTGTAATAGATAATCGATACAGAGTATCTGTGCAAGGTTTTTAACTAAAGAAAACACATGAAAACAGTCTCCAATATATGGATTATATAAAGCTTTCGGATCTTTCAGTGATTCATTTTCAAATCAAATATCAAGAAAATAAGTATATTTTTATAGTAATCTAGAAGCTTTCAAACTCACTAGGCTTCATTGAAATAAATGCGAGCGTTTATGAAGCCCGATAAAATAGATAAAAAAAAAGCAAGATTAGTCAATATATCACTATATCACTATTACAGGAATGAAAATATATTCTTTTTGATTTTGATAAAAAGTATCTGTCTCGTAAATTCTGTTTGGTTGTATAATCATTCCCAGGTGAATGAATCCGATGTTGGATCCCATCGGATCTGGTGGGATCCAACCAACCGACAATATCCGATGGGATTCCTGGTTGAGGAATCATTGACGGATCCGACAGTAGGATTCCGATGAATATCCAATGATATACGACTGCAGTAACCGATGGGACTTCCGGCACTAGGATTCAAATAAGATTCCAGTCGGATCCTATCAGTCTCTTTGGAAATGGCTACAATCGTCTATATGCATCTCAAAACTTTGTTATGGGTCATACGACCACTCAACTAATAAGATTCCTCCTAAATCATTCCCAAAAAAACAATGTCACTAGCTAGTCCACAGAAACTACACGCGCTATCACACAACACAATCCATCTCAAAATATGCCGAAAAAAGAAACGAATGCATGAAAAAAATCTATTACTACATTTCTCAGAAACATACTTCCATTAAATAAAATCAATCACATCAACTTCGCTTTCCAAGATTTTTGAAATCTAAGACAAACTAGTAGTGCTGAAACAGCACTGATGCAAACTTGAAAAGAAAACGCTTTTGGACTTTTAGATAGAGTTTTCGTGCTTAATCTAGTAAGGTTGAATAATTGTGAGATTTGTAAGCAGTTAAAAGGCGGTGTGTGTGCGTTTTTGCTTCGCGGCTGTGATACGTTCGGCAGAAATGCTGCTTTGTTGAGTGTGGAGTAGAAGATATTTTCACCATTCCCGAGCGTTTCGAAGAAAATGGACGGTCGTGATGTTACTAGTTGGAAATGAAGCTGGTAAACGGAGATGACATCTACAATCGTATAGACTTTTAAATAATGCACATAATCTTCCGGTGTGACGTTCGAAGTAATCTTTTATGGTTTTGGATAAAACCTTAGCTAGTTTTTTTCGTGACATGAAGGAATAGTGACTTCAGTGAGATATCTCGTCAGGTTGCATGGTTCGTTTGGAAACTATTTTATGTTTTTTTTGGAAAACCGTTAGACACGTACTTCAGGTGGATACAGGGGAAGAGCTTTTTAGTTTTTTCGGTTTCGCTGAATTTGTTTAAATTGTATTTGTCACTCAATTTCGTTATAGTGTGTTGAATTGTGTACTCATCCTTTGGGTCTATTGTTCAAATTAGCAGCTGCAATATATTTTTTAATTTATTCTTTAGATGTTGTGTGGACTACCATGGCATCGGCGAATAGTCTACACTAAAGCATATTATTCGGTTTTTCATCGGATCCTTCGAGATTCTATTGGAATTCAGGGGATCCGATAAGAACCTAGTGTAGGAAATCTCTTCGGATTATTTGTGTTGGAACCTGACGTGCCCCATAGGAACATGTTGATATTTGGTAGATTCTTATAGAAATTTCGTAGGACTGTTCGACCCACGGGTTCCTTCTGAGTTCGTCTATCAGAAATTATAGGATTATCATCGGTTTCCCACTCTCGGACACGAGAAGTTCATGATAACTGTTTCCCATCGGATGCGTGCAGTAAATTTCTGTCGGATTCCGACACTAAGTGTTAGGTCCTTTTATGGATCAATAACTTTATTTTCAAAAGTAATAAGACCTAAGCTTTTACAAGAAAGACGAAAACAAAAAAGAACAAGAACAAGAAAAAGAAAAACAGCTCATAGTCGACTCGAAAAAGAAAATACGACTGAGAGAGAGAGAGAGTTAACCACCCAATTACCGGGATGTGTCCAATATATTTAATACGAAGGATCGTCCATCTATATTCATTATATAGATGGCGATCCTGACACTAAGGATCCGACTGTAGATCCTGAACCAGGATTCCGATGAAATCCTTATAGGATTCTATTGAAATCCGATGGGATCATACAGGAACTCTGTCGGATCTGGTCGGATTCGATCTACTGGGTAAATAAAAGAAAATAGTGCCCCAGGTCGAACAGTCCGGCCTGGGAACGGCCGGTTCCGGGTAGTTCCGTTGATTTTGTGGAAGCAGTATTCTGGTTGGAAAATTTTCGCATTTTTTCTCGTGATACCCGATCGATTCCTGCCGGAATGCACCGGAACTTGGCAGGATTTCTCCGGAAAAATCTGACCGTATTTTTGACCGGAATACTGCTTCCATGTTCCAGTGATTTCCTGCAGGATATGGTGACTTTCCCGCATATTCCATGGAGTATCCTACAGGATCCGGTGGTCGGAATGTTCGACCTGTGGCTGCGAATATATTAAT